GACACAGCAGTGCTCTCTGGAAATTTCTCTAATTAACTGGAATAATTTTAAGTTTTTCTCTAACTTATTAACAACAGTTACTTTCAACATGACAACCTCATCGAAATGGCAGTTATTTTAGGACACTGAATCTACTTCACTAAGAAATTAATCAGGCTTATACTAAAACTTTCCTCCTTTCCAACCTCAAAATAATCAATTAACCCATTTATTTGTAATCACTTTTTCTCCCTAGGTAAAATGTGAATCTATTTCTTTGTAACATTAAACAGTCTAGCTGTGCTCCTGTTCCCATCACTAGATGCCTGTCTTCAGATACCTCCCTGCTCCATCCTTTCCCTCTCCACTAGCTTCTTTCCCCTTGGCCAGCAAATATCTCAATCCAACAATCTTGAAACATCTTTTGACACTGCCTTCCTGTCAAGTTGTTTCTCTTCTTGAAAGACTATTCTTCACTTCCTTACCTTTCTACTGAAAGGGTTAAAGGTCTGTAAAAGGTCAACAGCAACGTTTAATTTCTAAGGAAAGTGGCATCTGTGATCAGTTCCCATCCAATTTGACTTCTCTACAGTATTTGATACCGTTCACTATACACAAAACTGGAAACTTTTCTTTCTTTAGCTTTCAAGGTACTAACATTTTCTATGAGTATTCTAGTTATCCTTTACACCTTCACTGGTTTGCCTTGATTTGTCCATTGTTAAATGTTTTTTACTATACACCGTGCTTGGGGACATTTTTTGCTAACTACTACAATGATGACCCCCCAAAGTTGATTTCTCACGTTCCAACCATCTCTGAGCTACAAACTCTCATGTTCAATTCTCTACTAGACCTTGCTTCTGAAATATGAGAACTGAAACTCAACATGTTTTAGAATCTTTCTCCTAAATGTACTGCCTAATTCAGTGGACTGTGCTAATCACCCAGCTGTTTAAGCAAGAAAGATCTGAGTTATGCTTAAACTCTCCACAATTATTTAAAAAATTTTTATGTTTATTTAATTATCTTGAGACAGAAAGAGAGAGAATCCCAAGCAGTCTCCACACTGTCAGGACAGAGTGCAACATGGGGCTCAAACTCACAGACCCTGAGATCATGACTTTAACCATTATCAAGAGTTAGACACTTAACCGACTGAGTCACCCAGGTGGCCCTAAACTTTTCACATTTAACTCCAAATACCATCAAATACTGAAATATAAAACTTCCCTAAAATGCCTCCTCTGTCCTACTATCATTTTCCCATATTTTGGCTTCAATTAATTCAATAGCTTCATCAATGGTCTTCCCGTACTGAAAAGCTCTACAGTGTATACCAAAATAAGGCCACCCTTCCTGGCACAGAATAAAAAGGCCCCCACAACCCAGCAGTTTACATTTCTACCTTTTCAGCTTCATCCATACAACCCTAAACCTCCTCTTTCACAGATAACTTCCCCATTCCCATAGACATACCACTCTTCAAAGCAATGCATATTTTTGCCTCTCACCAAATAAACACTGATTCACTGTTTAGGGTCCACTCAAAGTAATCTCTCTGTGACTTTTCCTGATCCTCTCCAGGAAGAATGGATAAGAATTTCTGAATTGTATTGTGATCCTACACTGTTTACCATCTTCCCCTATGAGTTATTACATTATACCATTTTAACTATATATGTTTACATGTCCTTTCCTCCTCGTGCTCCTTGAGGATCAAGCTTTGCTCATATTTTTATTCTTTATGCATAAAATATAATAAGCTCTTTCCTCTCTCATCTGCTATTATTTTATTCCCTCGAAACCCACTGTGGTCTCAAAAAGGTCAAAGAAAAATGTCATCTCATATCTAAAAACTGGATTGGATTAAGGATGCCTGTCCTGTAGCAAAAGCAAAGTTTCAAGGAACCAAGAATGCCTGACAGCTATGGGACTGTTTCAAGATCATAAAGAGGAAATATTTGCACAAATTACTAGTTTCACCCCACTTAACTAACCCAATACTCCTTCCTTCAACACATATTTACTAAGAGCCAACTATACACCAGTCATTGCTCTGAGCAATGGTGAACAAGTAAACAGGAAAAAGTCTCTCTGCTTGCATGGATCATATCTCCTAATAAGGGAGATACAAATATATAGTCCCATGTTAGGTAGTAACAAATACTATATAGAAAAATAGAGAAGAGTATGGCTGGGGGGAGGGGTGGGAGTTGCTTCTTCAAAGACAGTGATCAGGGAAAGGCATTCTAAGGACAGAAGATATATCAGCAAGCCCAAAGTCATATGCAAATATCAGCAGGAAGGGTCTTGGAGGCAGAAGAGCAAATAAGAAGGAAAGCTTGCACTGTGCTTGCCCTATTTTTAAAAAGGTGTGGCTGTGACACAGTAACTCAGAGTGGTAGGAAATAAAATCTTAACTCAGTTTGGTAAAATTAAGTTAGCTAAAAGAGTCATTACAGGTAATTTTTACAAGTTCCCTCCTATTTAAGAAATGAGATGATTTAGATCTAATTTAGACCCTAACACTACATTGTAAATAAGCAAATTATCACACAATGGTAGAACAAGAAGTTTCATACAGTAATAAAGTAAGTATCCCAACCAATGATTTCCTAATCCTCACGAACAGTGAGATCATGACCTGAGCCAAAGTCTGATGTTTAACCAACTGAACCACCCAGGCGCCCCGTCTTTATTTTTGAGAGGCAGAGACAGAGCAGGCAGGGGAGGAGCAGAGAGAGAGTCTAGTTAGGATTCTAATGGAACTTCAATCTTGTCCTCTACTCAGGCCCAAACTCCAACATTCAATTCAGCATTCCCTACCCCAGGCTATGTTGCCTCAGGTCTTCTCCAACTTGCTACACTGGGGGCAGGACATTTAATTCTTATTTGAGTTTTTAAAGGCATGCCCAATGGCTGAGGATGGGTACCTTATACCTATTCTGATGTACAAAACTACCATTTTTTTCAATAACCTACACTAAAATTATTATTTAATCTCATTCCTCCCACAGATTTGGTTGTAAAACTTTGCCCTTTCTTTCTTTGAAATACTTCATATCTTTTCCTTCTCCCTTTCTATCATAATTAAGTTTGGATTAAAAGAGCTTCCTAAATGAATTCTCATCAGGACTGCTAGACTAATTTTTTCAACAAAACTTACTTTCATCATTTTACCCTTCTATGTGGGAGAAGGCTTTAATGGACCCCCAATAACTACAATGTAAAATTGAAACCTAACCTTTGTAAGATTCTTCCAAATTCACAGGACCATCTACAGTCCTCCTTTCTTACCATTCTCAGAACTTAATTTTTATATTTCCCAATGTCATGAAGACTAACCATGTGATTTGTAAAGGCAATTCCAGTTTATCAGTTTACATAGAAGGAAAAAAGAAATCCCAATAAAGGTGAATAAAATCTTCTTAAACAAAAAAAAAAAAAAAAAAAAAAGCAGTCCAGCATCTTCTGATTAGAAGAGACGATTAAGAATTTCACATTACTAAGACTGATAAAACATCCCACTGAGCTCCCATTTGCAAAATGCTTTTTATTCTATGGATGAAAAAATTGTTAACCTCAAATTTTAAGTTAAGTTGTCCAATGACCCATTTAACTAAAATAAATCCTTCTAAGGATTCAAAATCCCATGACTACACACTGGGCTTCCCAGCCCTCTCTGACTACATAAAAAACAGACTAACACATGTACTGTTACAATATTTTAACACCTGGATGTTTACATATTAACTACAGCATGTTATTCACAATAAATATCAACTGAAAGAATGAACACAGGGACATCACTCCTGAGCTTCAGCGGTTCCCCACAGAATTTGGACGAGTTCAGAACCTTTTATACAAGCAAAGCCTTTCAAAACTTGATTCCTCATAACCACATAATTGAACCTACCAAATCATTCTACCATGTTCCAAGTATTCTGAGGTGTGATTTGAATGGTAACTTGTAACTTGTAGGCAGTCTGCCATCACTGTTAAACAGAAGACTAGCAAACAAAATATGGTACCAACAAGTAGAACACATGTATTACCAATCTCATCAAAAGCTGCTAGAGAAATACTGAGTTTTGCATAAAAAAAGGAATTACTAAAATAAACATTAAAATAAAAATTCTAATATTCCTTTCACCCTTCATAAGAAGCTACATAATGTAAACAATTAAAAGTTTATGCTCAGGAATTAGACTGCTTGGATTTGAGTTCTAGTTCTATAGACTTCGTAACAATTTAACTTCCCTGGGTCTCATTTTGACAAAATGTGGATAAAATCTTGCAGGATTGCTGTGCAAATTAAATGAGAGATTGTGTAGCACTCAGTATTATGCCTAAAACATAAGAAGAGTTCAAATATACTAACTGTTAATTGTTCAAAGCACATAGATTACAATGGAAATGCTAATTTTGGGCTTCCTTTCAAATCGTGTTATTGTCTTGACAACCAGCTTAAGAGGTTAAAAATGGTCCATTCACCTTGAAGAATACCAATTATTCATTTGCACCCTGGGGAATCCCCAGAAGTCCAGTGGGGGCAAAATCTGAATGGGATCTGCTCATCTGTTCAGAGGTGGTCTTCACGCACCTTGAGTAAGGTCGGCTTCATACTAAGTGAGCAGTATTTTTTGGAAAAATACTGGAATTAATGTAAATGCCAGGCCAAACAGCAGACTCAAAGTCTACGTCATAGGACTGAATCACCTCGTTTCTCTTCCAGGAGCAACTATTCTGACCTAAAGATGACCTAAATTCAGATATCAACTTCCATCCCTGGGCCATATTCCAAGAACTCATATAAAACTGAAGAAGCTATGGATGCTCGGTTGATGGTACAAGGTCCAATGGTGCCTATGGCAGCCCCAAAGCTGTATTTAAAAGGGCAAGGTGGACAACAATGTATTAGTATACACAACAATCAAGAATAAATATTAGAATCTCTTCTGCTTTCCATCTGTTAAATACCTCTTGATGCTACGTCAATTTGCAACACTGTAACTCACCTGTTTTCTCAGTTATATCTGAATCAGGTGTGCCTGCCCTGCTAGCCTCTCCTTCAGCATTCTCCTCTTCAGCACTAAGAGAAATTGGTGAAGAAGGGCCAGGCTGGGAGGGCTGAGGGGTTGCTTCGGGCACTTCCTCAATCTTACTCCTTTTCTCAAAGCGAAAACGGTCCAAGTTGAAAAGATTCATATTGGCAGAAACCACCACCACCCTGTGGAATTAAGAGCTTTAAATGAACTATCTGCAGGAAGAAAATAAAAAGAGAAAAAGAGGCCATGAAAACAATATAAACTATACAAAGCCTCAGCAGTTCATTCCCAAGGCAATTCAGAGCACACAAACATGCCAGTGGCACAGGATGACTATTATGGCTGCGCTTCATTGTTAGGCCACGATGATCAGAAGCTGAACAGGGATATCTTTTTAAAAATTTCCATTTCTCTTTCTACTCCCCTTCTTCTCCCCCCTCCCCGCCCCGCCTTCCTCAAACCGCACGCTGACCCTCGTGCAACCTCCGCTTACCCCTGCACGCGCAGGCACGTTCCCCACTCTAACCCCCCTGCGGGCCGCGCGCCCGCCCACAGCGAGAGGCTCCCTGCACTACGGTGCTCCCCGCCTCGAGAAAGGACGTGCCAGGGCCCGCGCCTCGATACTGCGGGGACACAAAGGGGCCAAAGAAGGGGAGCGGCGGAGGCCTTGCTGGCGGGCACCCGCCCGGAAGTTGACGCGGCGCGATCCCAGCTGAGAGGAAGCTGATAGGATCAAGAAAACACAGGGAGGGTTCGGAGGTGGAGAGTGTGCTGCAGCATCTCTTTGAATGATCACCCACTCGCCCTCTTTCTTTCTTTGGTACTTACACTCTTGCGGGCTCGATGCGATGTAACAAAGGTTGAAAGAAAAAATAATTCCTGGCGTGGGGCGACGGTAGCCGGGCCGGGACCTTCCAAAACAGCACGGAGAGCCCAAACGAGCGCGCGGTGATGACGCAACACGCAGCTCAGGCTTTTTTTTTTTTTTTCTTTCCCAGCGACGCGCGAGCGGAAGATGTCCAGGCGCGCACTGTTGCCATGGTAATTCGTACCCGCCTCTACGCTTGGGAAGCTCCTTTATGGCCTTTCTCCAGGTTAGATAGAGAGTTATTAAATGAAACAATAATAAATTGCGCCATGGCAATAAATAACATAATAAGTAATATAGTATTTTATACATTATAATGTATAATATTTTGTATAATTTACACATAGTATGATGTTAATATTGTCCCAGGTGTTTTACGTGAATAATCAATCCTTACATGAAGCCTTTCTTACAAAATAAGGAAACAGAGGCCTGCAGATGTTAAATAGTAAGAAGTAAAAAGACGAGAGTGTTGAACTTGGCATATGAACTGCCTCCCCACTGTTGGCTGGATTGTTCTTAGAGTGGAATATGACCATTCATATATGTTGACCGAAATACTACCTTAAGAATTTTTACCCTTTTTGTTGTAGCATTTGGCTAAACAGGCAATTTTCTGTGTTTTAATTTGATCCTCTGGTTGGCATTTCCCTTAAAGAGACGTTACTACAAAACGTTATTCTACCAAATACAGTGGCCAGTGTAATCTCAGATTGGCATTCTACTTTATAAATCGGTGTTTTGAATTGTATAATTATAACATGAACCCACAGTTTTATTAAAGACAGGCACACTTATAAAATCAAGTGTCTTGACACATAAAATTCAGAATCAAAGCCTGAACGATTGAGATTTCATTATACCTATTTTTGATATCCCAGAAAATACACCAGCTTAGTGCATGCATGGTAACTGATGTGATCAAGGGATATATCAACTTATACATAGTAAAAATAATTTTTGGTGGTACGGAGTATCTGTTCTCAGATCTGCTCTCAGCAACTTCCAAATATGCAATGCAGTATTATTAAGCATAGGTCATCATTCAGTACATGTAATTTTAAAAAAGAATATTTGCTTTATGTTCACACAGATCTCACATTGAAAATGGATTCTGCTAAGCTGAATGACTTTAGGCAAATTATATATAACTTCTCTAAGCCTTAGTTTCTGTATCTTTTAAATGTGATGGATGATACCATTGATTTCTTAAGGCAATTTTCTACAACACAGCAGTAACCCCTTGACATTTGTACAAGTGGGGAAAGAGTGAAAACTGAGATCCACACATCATCTGTCTAAATATTTAAACATACATACAGTTAACAAAAGGTAAAAATAAAATACATTCTGTTGCCCTATTTTGGCAATAACCTGGAACGTGAGGTTGAATTTAGAATTTCTGTTTTGGACAGAACATGATGATTCAAGAACTGGTTGGCACATGTATCCTGCCTTCCCTGTGTCATGTCCTCCCATTCAGTTTGATACCATTAGGAGCCTGGTGCTCCTGAATGTGGACACCCAGCTCAAATGCCAGACTGTGACTCCACCTAGTGTTGCCATATTTGTTTAAAATATAAAGGCTGTTTTGTGGGGCGCCTAGGTGGCTTAGTCGGTTAAGGGTCCGACTTTCGCTTAGGTCATGATCTCACGGTTTGTGGGTTTGAGCCCCGCGTCGGGCTCTGTGCTGACTGCCGGCCCAGAGCCTGGAGCCTGTTTCAGAGTCTGTGTCTCCCTCTCTCTCTGACCCTCCCCTGCTCATGCTATCTCTCTCTCTCCTAGAAATAAATAAAAATATTTTAAAAAAAATAAATAAATAAAGGCTGTTTTGCTAAATTTGAATCTTAGATAAATAGTACTTTTTAGTGTAAGTTTGCCCCATTAAATATTTGGAACTTGCTTGTTCTAAAAACTTACTTGTTGCTTGTTTGAAAATCAAATTTAACAAGATATCCTGTATTTTATTTGGCAAGCCTACTCCTGCCCTATTGCTTCACACCTCTTGGGTCTAAGAGCCTTTTTGCTACATGTTGGATCTAAGGATCTAGATACTGGAAGCTCTGTTGGCCCTCATCAGGAAGGACCTGGGTTAAGGTTGCCAGCGTTCTTGGAGCTGTGTGAGCAGACTTCTGGGACCATGTACTCAAAAGCATTGTCTAAAATTGAAGGCATAGGTTCTGAGAAACCTGTTTTTTTGGTCTCACAGATTCCTTGCTCTTAGGCATTGGGTATAGCAGGAAAAGAGCCAGAATTGAGTTCTGTAAAGCAGTAGGTCCAGTACAGAGACCACTCTTGACCAGTGCTTTTTTTTTTTTCAATTTTTTAATATTTATTTATTTTTGAGAGACAGAATGTGAGTGGGAGAGGGTCAGAGAGAGGGAGACACAGAATCTGAAGCAAGCTCTAGGGTCTAAGCTGTCAGCACAGAGCCTGATTCGAGCCTCAAACCCAAGAACTGTGAGATCATGACCTAAGCTGAAGTTGGATGCTTAGCCGACTGAGCCACCCAGGTGCCCCACTCTTGCCAAATTCTAAGGGTGGGATTGTTCTATAGCTTTCACTGACCTGGGAGAGTTGGAATTTTACACGATAGGGATTTTGCTTGATTGTGGATCAAAAGGTTAAGGGAGTATATAACAAAGTAACACAGACTGGATGGCTTATGCAACAGAAAAGATTTTTTTCTGAAAAGCTCTGAAGGCTGGGAGTCTGATATCAAGGTGTTGGCAGGGTTGGCTTCTTCTGCTTAATGCCTCTCTCCTTGGGCATTTTCACCCTGTGTTTTTACATAGTCTTCCCTCTGTACTTGTGACTAAATTTCATAATTTAATTAAATGGCCACCTTTTAACTTAATTACATCTCTAACGAACCTATGTCCAAGTATAGTCACATTCTGAGATAATGAGAATTAAGACTTCAACATGTAAATTTGGAAGGGGCACAATTCAGCTCATAACAGGGGGCAAAAGAGTTGAAGGCTTTCTATATGAAGCTAAAATCTTTTAGAACTGTAGCAGTAACTGGGGCTAAAAGACAGTCCTCTGACATTTCTTTCTTAGAACCCTAAATATAGTCATTCTCCAGAATTCAGTCCTTGGTGTCCTGCTTGTCTCACTCTTTTCTTTCTCAGAGTGGAGTGATTATAGTGGTAACTAAATATACATGTCAAATTTTATTCAACTATATACTTAAAAAGGTTTAATCTTGGGGTGCCTAGGTGGCTCAGTTGGTTACGCATACAACTTCAGCTCGGTCATGATCCCATGGTTTGTGGGTTTGAGCCCCACATTGGGTTCTGTGCTGACAGCTCAGAGCCGGGAGCCTGCTTTGGATTCTACGTCTCCCTCTCTCTCTGCTCCTCCCCTGCTCATACTATGTCTTTCTCTCTCAAAAACAAATAAGCATTAAAAGAATTTTTTTAAAGAAGGCTTAATCCTACTGTTTATAAGTTTTTAACTCAATAAACAACACATTTTGTAAAAAATGACTATCAACATTACTGATATGGAAGAAAATTTGAAAACCCCTCTCCCCCTAGAATAAAGAGGAAAAAGACAAAGAAGTGAAATCAATGAGATTTAAAGAAATAATAAACATAGAATTCAGAGGACTGAGAAGCAAACTTTGATAAATTATGAGTCAGATCAAGCGTCGAAATCAAGAGTCAGATGCTCAACCGACTGAGCCACCCAGGTGCCCTCCCCCCCCCTTTTTTTTTTCCAGAAGAAGCATCTTATGAAAGGACAAAAAACTGTCAGTCAGAACTTGTTCAGTAAACTAAATGCCAGAAGTTAATGATGAAACAGCTACAGAGATGGGAAGGAAAATACTGTGGCTCAGTAATTGTTTAGATTATGTATATGCTATTCATTGATGGATAAAAAAAATATTCAAACTTTTAATTCCTTGAAAATATATCTTCCAGGGCGCCTGGGTGGCTTAGTTGGTTAAGCATCTGACTTCGGCTCAGGTCATGATCTCATGGTTTGTGGGTTCGAGCCCCGCGTCAGACTCTGTGCTGACAGCTAGCTCAGAGACTGGAGCCTGCTTCTGATTCTGTCTCCCTCTCTCTCTGACCCTCCCCTGCTCATGCTGTTTGTCTCTTTCTCTCTCAAAATAAATAAATAAATAAATAACATTTTAAAAAATTAAAAAAAAATACATATCCTCCTTAAACTGTTCCTAAAGACATAAATCCAGCTGACAGGGTCAAAAATGAGAATTTCAAGAATGCAGAATTAATGGTGTGAAAGTATTCTGTTGAGACTAAACACAGTTAGGACTTAATAAGTAGGGTATATTCACCAACATTTTGTTGCATAACAACTGCAAGATTTTAACACAATAATCTTGATTGGCTAGTATGGTTTAAGTTCAGGCTACAATGACTTTTTGCACATAGTACATGCTCAACAAATATGTGTTGAGTGAATGAATGATATTAATAACTACATAAAATGCCTTAAGCATACAGATAACCACAAAGAAATGTTAAAATAAGCTGAGTATCTTCAAAATGTTACATGTCATGGAAGAACAATATAAACCAGGAGTGTTATCTTATTAATTTTTTTTTCTCTTTTACTTTTTATTGTAAGCTCTGTCCCCAATGTGGGGCTTGAACTCACAACCCTGAGATCAAGAGTCACATGCTCTACCAACTGAGCCACACAGGCACCCTTTAAACCAGAGTTTAAAAAAAAAAAAACTCAAGAAAGAGGTAATGTAACTCAAGAAGGGAAGGAAAGTAAAAAAAAAAAAAAATTAAAAATGCAGATTAAACTAGATGTGACACATAATGCCTACAGAGAAATGGCAGGTAAAAAGGGAAAAAATAAAAAATAAAAGAAATGTAAATAGATTTCAAGAGAAAATAATAAATATTGAAAATAAGCAAAGAAGATCCAACATAATTATAATAGGAATCTCTACAGAAGAAACTAAAGCAAAGATTGGAAGAAATAACTAAAATCTGTAATTCCAAAAGTATTTCCCAAAAATTACAAAGATTTGAAACCATATTTTAGAAAAGTACATCAATACCTGTGGATATCAACCCAGATGTCAAAAAGCAAGACATATTCTAGTAAAATTTAGACTTAAAAAAATTTTTTTAATTCCTTAAGCATTTAGACAAAACAATCAAGTGACCTATAAGGGAAAGAAAATTATATTACCATCACAGTTTTAACAGCTAGTCCTTATGCTGAAAGAAAATGGAATATTGTATCTGGGAAGCTCAAAGAAACAAAATGTGATGTGACCCAAAGATATTATTTGGGTAAAAGGTGCTTTTCAAATATAAAGGCACCTGGGGCACCTGGGTGGCTTAGTTGATTAAATATCTGACTCCTGATTTCAGCTCGGGTAATGATCTCACAGTTTGTGAGATTGAGCCCTGCATCTGGCTCTGCACATCAGGTTCTTGGGAGCCTGCTTGGGATATAGATATAGATATAGATATAGATATAGATATAGATATAGATATAGATATAGATAGATATAGACACAGATATTTGTATTTAAAGGCATAGATAAACTATTAACATCATGCAAGAACTCTAGGTATTATTCTCATGAGTACTCTTAAAAATTTATTAAAGAATGAACTTCATAAAGTATCTACAGTAACAATGACTAAAGGACAGATATTAAGCATTAGCTATATAGTTATTTGTAGAACAAAGACCATAAGAGGTTTAAAAGGAAAAGAGTAACATATGATGGTTATATGACCCATCATTGTGCACCTCTTAAAATGGGGAGAGAATGGTAGGAACAGATTAAAAAAATTTTTTAATTTTTTAGTAATTGTATTGGAGTAAGTATATTAGTATTGTTATTCTAAGGCATTTGTGTGTGTATTTTTGAATAAAGCAAATAATAAATAACTATTATTTCTCGTTTTTTTTTTTTAGAAGCTGGGATTCTCAAAAAGAAGAAAGGAGATGCAGATGTGATAGAAAGAAATTAGAGTGCAAATTCTAGAATGCGGAGGGACTTTTCTTAAATTGGAAATATCTGTAGCAACTTATGAGGTTTGGTACGCACACACACATACTTCTTGGGAAAAGATTCCTTTCTAGGACAGGAAATATACAGGATGAGCCTGGAATATCTTCATCTACCTAAGGCAAGAAAGTTACATAAAACCAACATTTAAGAGACTCAGGAGCTAAATTTAAGGCTCCTACTATTGTCCAAAGATGGAGCAGTTTGAACTTCAATAAGATTAAACATTGCAATTATTTGAAAGCCATCAAATATGTTTAAATCCATGAGTTCTTTTTTGGTACTTTTTAAAATAACTGGTTATATATGGAGAACAAAAAGAAAAGATAATTCATTGTTATGAAAACTGACAAGTATAGGAAAAGAATCAAGCTTTTATGCTGCCTTTACTCTGAAGGGTTCTGCTAGGTAATCAAATAATAGATGAAAGAAACTGTTTCTTTATAAAATTTTTCCAACTAGTAAATGAGAGAGAAATGATAAAATTTGATCATTCAGCAAGCCTGGCCCAAATTCCTAACCTACAAAATTATAAGATACAATAAAATGGGTATTATATTATTTATTTTTTATTAAAAATATTTTACTGTTTATTTTTGAGAGAGAGAAAGAGAGAAAGCATGAATGGGGGAGAGGCAGAAAGAGAGGGAGAGACAGAATCCAACGCAGGCTCCAGGCTCTGAGCTGTCAGCACAGAGCCCTTTGTGAGGCTCAAACTGCGAGATCATTACCTGAGCCAAACTCTGATGCTTAACCAACTGGGCAACCCAGGCGCCCCTAGAATTCACCTTTTAAGTTAATAAATATTTAAGTAAGGCTGCTGTGATGCTTAATTTTATGTATCGATTTGACTGGGCTAAAGGATGCCCAGATAGCTGGTGAAACATTTTTGAGTATGTCTCTGAGAGTTTTTTGGAAGAGTTTAGCATTTGAATTGGTAGACTGAGTAGAGAAGATTGCTCTTACCCAATGTGGGTAGATATCACCTAATTATATAAGGGCTTAAATAGAAAAAAAGCTAGAAGGGCAAATTCACTCCCTCTGCTTGACCTGGGAGATCCATCTTCTCTTGCCTTTGACCTTGTTTTCAGGCTTTCAGACTTGAGTCTTGGACTTTTGAAGTACAGCACCAGCTCTCCTGGACCTCTAGCTTGTAGCAGGACTTCTCAGCTTCTAAAAGTAAGTCAATCCCTCATAATGAATCTCTTTCTGTGTACTTATATATATTCTATTGGTTCTGTTTTTACATAGGTCCTGGACTAATATAGCTGCCAAAATCTTGTTAATTGCTTGTTAGCCTTGAAATAGGCTCAGTGAAAATGTTTTATAGAAGCCTCAAATATCTTCATTTACATAGGAGGAAAGATTGTAAACATTTTATTTTTATTTATGTTTGCTTTATAACCATGAAACATTACAAGGAAGGAGAAACCCTTCCAAATTTGAACTGAATAAGAAGCAAAACAAAATAATAAACGGCAACAGTGATTAAAAATGGGATTTGCAAACCCAAATCCCTTCTTAACTTGATATCTTAAAATATAAGCCACACCTGGTTGGTAATGGAAACTTGTATTAACTAATCTTACCTCCCACACACAAATATGGAATGGAAGAGACAAAGTACCAAGTCATAAAACTAAGTAGATCTTTTTTCCTTGGTGACGAGAAACTAAGACAAATATTCCCAGTTTGTAAGTAAATACTTCTTTTCCCAAAGTAATCATTCTTAATTTGGTGAGGTAGAGGGAATGATCATGAATCTCTTTTGAGAATCTGATTTTTAAGAAGCCATGGAATGCTTTCAAAAAACCTGCATATGCACGTTATGGGTTTGTCCATAATTCATGGACCCTCTAGTGCTCTGTGCTCTTCACACTTAGAAATTATTTTTTTCACATTGATGAATTATGACACAGAGGTCTGGAATCCTCATAACTGGTGGAATTAATGACGATTCCACCCCTGTATGTGCCTTAAAAAAAAGTTTTGGAAAAAAACTTGACAATAAACTATGAAAGAAAAAAAAAAGAAAGAACAGATATAAAAAAGACATATGGAAAATAAAGAAGATACAAAAATGGAAAATAAGCATATGAAAAGATGTTCCACATTATATGTCATTGAAGAATTACAAATTAAAACAACAACAAGTTTTATTTACATTCCGGTTAGTTAACATACAGTGTAATATTAGTTTCAGGTTTACAATATAGTGATTCAGTGCTTCCATATAATACCTGGTGCTCATCACTACAATCACACTCCATAATCCCCATCACCTATTTAACCTATCCTGCCACCCACCTCCCCTTGGTAATCATCAGTTTATTCTCTGTAAAGTGGGGGAGAGGGAGGGAGGCAAACCATGAGAGACTCTTGAATGTTGAGAACAAACTGAGGACTGATGGGTTTGGGGGGGAGGGGAAGGAGGGTGATGTGCATGGAGGAGGGCACTTGTGGGGATGAGTACTGGGTGTTATATGGAAACCAACTTGACAATAAACCATTTTTTAAAAAAAAGAGCCTGTTTCTTGGTTTGTCTCTCTCTTTTCATCCCCCTCTTTGCTCACTTGTTTTGTTTCCTAAATTTTACATATGAGTGAAATCGTATGGTATTTGTCTTTCTCTGACTGACTTTGCTTAGCATAATACCCTCTAGTTCATCTATGTCATCACAAATGGAAAAATTTCATTCTTTTTTATGGCTGAGTAATACTCCATTTTATATGTATCCCACCTCTTATTTATCCATTCATCAGTCAATGCACAGTTGGTCTGTTTCCATAATGTGGCTATTGTAGATAACGCTGTTACAAACATAGGTGTGCACATTTCCCATCAAATCAGTAGTTTTGTATCATTTGGGTAAATACCTGGTAGTGCAATTGCTCGATCAGAGGGTAGTTCTAGTTTTAACTTTTTGAGGAGTCTTCATTCTGTTTTCCAGAGTGTCTATGCCAGTTTACAATAACACCAAGAGGGTTCCTTTCTTTCCACATCCTGGCCAATACTTGTTGTTTCTTGCATTTTTAAAAAAATTTTAGTCAGCCTGACAGACATGAGGTGATATCTTATTGTAGTTTTGATTTGTATTTCCCTGATGATGAGTGATGTTGAGCATTTTTTTAATGCATCTGTTGGCCATCTGGATGTCTTCTTTGGAAAAATGTCTATTTATGTCTTTTGCCCATTTTTAACAATTCATTTTTTGGGTGTTGAGTTTTTTAGGTTCTTTATATATTTTAGATGCAAACTCTTTATCAGATAATGCCACTTACAAATATCTTCTCCCATTCTATATGTTGCCTTTTAGTTTTGTTGATTGTTTCTTTCGCTGTGCAGAAGTTTTGTTTTTTTTTTTGAAGTTCCAACAGTTTATTTTCTCTTTTGTTTCCCTTGCCTCAGAAGACATATCTAGAAGGAAGTTGTGATGGCCAGCGTCAAAGAGGGGACTGCCTGTGTTCTCCTCTAGGATTTTAATGGTTTCATGTCTCCAATTAGGTTTTTCATCTATTTTGAATTTACTTTTGTGTCTAGGGTAAAAATGTGGTCCATTTTCATTTTTTGACATGTCGCTGTCCAGTTTTCCCAACACCATTTGTTTAAGAGACTGACTTTTTCCTATTGGACGTTCTTTCCTGCTTTGTCAAAGATTAATTGACCATATAGTTGTGGATTCATTTCCGGGTTTTCTATTCTATTCCATTGATCTCTGTGTCTGTTTTTGTACCAGTGCCATACTGTCTTGATCACTACAGCTTTGTAATATAACTCGAAGTCCAGAATTGTGTTGCTTCCAGCTCTGCTTTCCTTTTTCAAGATTGCTTTGGCTATTTGGGGGTCTTTAAAAAAATTTTTTTTAACATTTATTCATTTTTAAGAGACAAAGGCAGAGCATGAGCAGGGGAGGAACAAAGAGAGAGAGAGGGAGGAGCACACAGAATCTGAAGCAGGCTCCAGGCTCTGAGCTGTCAGCACAGAGCCTGATGCGGGGCTCAAACTCAGAGGCCAAGAGATCATGACCTGAGCTGAAGTTGGACACCCGACCAACTGAGCCACCCAGGAGCCCCTATTTGGGGTCTTCTGCGGTTTCATATAAATTTTAGCATTGTTTGTTCTGGCTCTTTGAAAAATACTGGTGGTATTTTGATAAGGGTTGCATTAAATGTGTAGATTGCTTTGGATAGTATAAACATTTTAACAATATGTGTTCTTCCAATCCATGAGCGTGAAATGTTTATCCATTTTTTTGTGTCATCTTCAGTTTCTTTCACCAGTGTTTTATCGTTTTCATAGCACAGGTCTTTTACCTTTTTGGTTTGGTTTATTCATGGGTATCTTACAATAGGTGTAATTGTAAATGGGATTGATTCCTTAATTTCTCTTTCTTCTGCTTCATTATTGTTATATAGAAATGCAGCAGATTTCTGTACTTTCTGTATGTTGATTTTATATCCACGATTTCATTGAATTCATTTATCAGTTATAACAGTTGTGTGTGTGTGTGTGTATAGTCTTTCACATTTTCTATATAGAGTATCATGTCATCTGCAAATAGTAAAAGCTTTAATCCTTCTTTGCCAATTTGGATACCTTTTATTTCTTGTGTTGTCTGATTGCTGTGGCTAGGACTTCCAGTATTATGTTAAATAACAGTGGTGAGAGTGAACATCCCTGTCTTGTTCCTAAACGTAGAGGAAAAGTTTTGATTTTTCCCACTGAGGGTGATATTAACTGTGGGTTTTCATATATGGTGTTTATTATGTTGAAACCCTTATAAACCTTGGGAAATTAAAAATATTGAGTATGTTTCACCCTTTGATAATACCTGCTATATGTTGATAACTACTTTAATAGATTTTCTGGAAAAAGATGGAATTTCAATTCTATATGAAACATATAATGATTGATTTTCAATAACTGCCCATTAGAGAGTAAACTTCATGTTGTATCTTTTCCTCTTTTAATATTTTTCATCCTAGTTTTTTTATCTTTTTCTTTTTCTAGCCAAGTACGTCTTACAATTGTCAGGGCACTCTCAGCTAGAAACTTGAGTTCACACAGACAAACACACAAGACTTTATTTTTTTCTCCCTGTGTTTTTGCAATTCATTTTCCTCAGGACACTGTGTGGTCATCATTTTGTCGCTGTCTACACCCACAGTGTCAGGATAGTATTTGATACTTTGAATTATTCAATTCACACATTGAGTCCAAACTTTACCACACCTGTACTTGTAGCATCTCATTTTTTTGTGGTAATGCTTATCTTGAAATTAACCTTTTATATCTGCCATTCTACAACTATCATTTTTTACAATATATTTACCTGAAATTATATCATTATAATCAGTCATATATATATGTATGTATATATATATATATATATATATATATATATTTTTTTTTTTTTTTTTTTTCTTGAAATGGTTTTTACTTGGAGTACCTGGGTGGCTCAGTTGGGTACAGGTTTGACTTCAGCTCAGGTTATTATCTATCAGTTTGTGAGTTTGGACACAACTATTCTAGCTCAGAGCCTGGAGCTTGGTTTAGATTCTGTGTCTCCCTCTCTCCCTGCCCTTCCCCACTTGTGTCATTAGGAAATTAAGAACACCTGATCCCATCTCTTCTGTTGATTAGTGCTGTGATATTCTTTAAATTTCCTCATCTGTACAGTAGAGAAAATAATACTTACACTAAAAGGTTTCAATGAATTAAATTTGGATTAATTCATGTTTAGGGTAGGGCCAGGCGTATAGTTAATAGCAAGTAAATATTTATGACTTTTAAAAATTTATTTATTTTGAAAGAGAGAGAGACATGGAAGGGGCAGAGAGAGAGAGGGAGAGAAAGAGAATCCTAAGCAGGCTCTGCACACTCAATGCAGAGCCTGATGTGAGGCTCAAACTCATAGACTGTGAGATCATGACCTGAGCCAAACCAAGAGTTGGCTGCTTAACCAACTCAGCCACCCAGGAACCCCTATGATTTTTTTTTTTTTTTTGAGAGAAAGAGAGAGCATGAATGTGGGAAAAGGGCAGAAGGAGAGAGGGAGAGAATCTTAAGCATGCTCCATGCTCAGCATGGAGCCTGACATGGGGCTCAATCCCATGGCCCTGTGATCATGACCTGAGCCAAAATCAAGAGTTGGATGCTCAACCAACTGAGCCACCCACGTGCTCTGATTTGAATTTTAAAGTAAAATTCACCTTATTTAAGAGTTAGTTTCCCAGTAAGCAAATTATGTGAAAAATCACTTTCAATTAAAATTACCATGGGATGCCTGGCTGGCTCAGTCAGAAGAGCATACGACTCTGATCTCAGGGTCATGAGTTTGAGTCCCACATCAGGTATAGAGATTGCTTAAATAAATAAAACCTAAAAAAATTAAAAAAATAAATCACACTTGTAAATTCAATAAATCAGCAGTAAATTATAGAGTACATAGATTTATAATAGTACATAACTCCTATTAATTTATTTAACTAATCATTATTGTGTGCCTAACCTGTGCCAGGGACAATGAGAGGTGATGGGAGACATAAGAATGAAAAGTCTCATATGATTCCTCTTCTCAGAGGGCTTAATGTCTGTCAGGGAGGCAACTAGCCATCAATTACAAAATAGTACAAATTATGCTATGATAGTAAAAGTATGGAGTGCTAGAGGAGCTCTTATGATTTTAGTAGAGGAAGCCAAGGAGAAAGTGACAGCTGAGTTCTGAAGGAGGAATAGAAATAAACCAGTAAACGAGGTAAAATGATGACAAGGATAGGAAAAGCTGAAGTCCTATAGAGGCCATGCATGGGACTCTGTTTTTAATCTTCAAGGCAGAGGAAAGGATTAAATTTTTAATCAGTTATAGACTCTGGTATTATATAAACATTGAATTGGAGTGCAATAACACTAAAGGTCTATCTTTACAAAAGAATGATAGCTAATAAATTCAGAGAAATGATGAAATGGAAAACCGATACTATGCATCCTTAAAATAATAATTTAGGGAAGAATCATTAATCGATGATGGTAAAATGAATGGGTGAAAGGATGACAAGGAATAGGGTGATCACAAGATATTCAAGTTTTCATCCCAGGGATAATTTACTAATTACAAAGCAAATATGTATCCTTACAATGGAGAGATCTGGTGAACTTGACATTATGTGCCTCTTGATGTAATGCAATACAAAGTTGTTACAGGTTGAATTTTGTCTCCCCAAAATTCATATGTTGATATCCTAACTCCCAGTATCTCAGAATGTGACTGTACTTGGAGATAGGGCCTTTAAAGAAGTAATTAAAATAAAATGAGGTCACATTGATGGACCTTATGTAATTAAACCTTCTCCTTTTAAGAAGTGGAGATGAGCACACAGATTCACTCAGAGGAAAGACCATATGAAGATAGAATGAATGTATACAAGCCAAGAAGAGATGCCTGCAGAAGAAACTAACCTTGATGACACCTTGATCTTAGACATCTAGCCTCCAGAACTGTGAGAAAATAAATATCTGTTGTTTAAACAACCCAGATTAGTCTACCCAGGGGAAATGGCAGAATAGGAGGACCATAAACTCCTCTGTCTTACAGATACAACTAGATAACACTCTCATCAGTGTAAGTAACCCAGAAAATTACCAAAAGACTGGCAGAACAAACCCCATGACTAAATGGAGAGAAGAGAACACATTGAAGAGGATAAGAAGGGTAGAGACATAGTCAGGAGCTAAACAGACAATGGGACTGTCTGCTGGAGGAAGGGACACCAGCGCTGTAGAGAGGAAAGAGAAATAGACCCTCACATCAGGGAGCCCACATCGGGAAGATGAATCCCTATAACATTTGGCTTTGAAAACCAAAAGATCCAAGTTCTGTGATTTCAAACAACTAGTGGGACTTAAAACCTAGAAGTTTAAAAATCAGCAGGCTTGGCTCTGGGAGAGCAACAAGGTCAAGAGAAAACTGAGTCCCTGCACTTGTAGGGACAGCAAAACTAAAAGCAAAGATACAGAGATACAGAATAGAAGCAGCAGTTTGAAAAATGCTTGGAGAATACTAGAGGGAGATTTGTTTACTAACCTCGGAAGATGTGTTGGGGGGGACTGAGATTAATGAGAGACTTGTCCAGGAACAAAGGACCTGGCAGGTTCCATTTCCATTTCTCATGCTCCAGCACAAACACACATTCATCTGTGGGAACCAGAAAGATGGTAACACTCACTACCTAACTTGCTTACACTGTGCAGCCCACCCCCCTTCCCACTCTCGAGCCAGCCCCATGGCTGCTGGTACCCTCTTGCTGAGAACAGGTATGCAAACTTTACTAACACTGAATGTCCTGTCCCTGCATACTTTGCAGATCTGACCCCATCCAATTACACTCTTGGCTAGCTCCCATCCAAAGTAGTGCCACAATGGGGCGCCTGGGTGGCTTAGTCGGTTAAGCGTCCAACTTTCGCTTAGGTCATGATCTCGCGGTTCGTGGGTTCAAGCCCCGCGTCGGGCTCTGTGCTGACTGCCAGCTCAGAGCCTGGAGCCTGTTTCAGTCTGTGACTCCCTCTCTCTCTGACCCTCACCTGTTCACGCTGTCTCTCTCTCTCTCCTAGAAATAAATAAAAAAATATTAAAAAAAAAAAACAAAAAAACAAAGTAGTGCCACAAGTCTGGCAGTGTGCAAGCAGCCCTGAAAGAAGCTGGCACCACTCCAAAGTGACTCGTCTCAAGTAGAAGAAAAGATAACCAAACATACCAGTCTCACTGTGCCCCAGCAGGGGGTGGGGGCAGACAGCTGGTCTGACTGTAAGCCGCACTCACCAGTGAAAGCTTCTCCAGAGACAACACAGGGAAAATGCGCTGTGTTTTTGGTGGTACTGTATCTCTGGCAAATGCCTTGTCTAATTTAATTCAAGCCCAAGTCAGCCCCCAGACTGGTCCATTAACACCACAGAAACCAAATACAGCCCACAACAGGCCAAACAAAGCTACTGCAGATGATAGGACTAATGGAAAAAGTGGCCAAGACACAACAGTGTGTAGGAACACACATAGCAGACACCCCTGAAGCCCCAGGTTCTAGTGAACAGGGGATACTGCACCGCAGGGCACTATCAGACCTCTTCTTCATAAGTCTACTACTTTCAAGACTAAGAGATATAGCTGACTTTCCTAACACACAGAAGCAGGCAGAGAGTTAGACAAAATGCAGAGACAGAGGAATATGTCACAAATGAAAGAACAGGACAAAATCACAGCAAGAGACCTAAGTGAAGCAGAGGTAAGTAATATGCCTGGTAGAGAATTTAAAGTAATGATCATAAAGAAACTCACTAGATTTGAAATAAAAATGGAAGAACAGTGAGACCTCTAACAAAGATATAGAAAACATGACAAAGAACCAATCAGAGATGTAGAACTCCATAAATGAAAATAAATGTAACACTAGATAGAATAAATAGTAGACTAGGGGAACGAGAAGAATGGACCAGTGACCTGAAGGACAGAGTAATGGAAAGTGATCAAGCTGAACAGGTGAGAGAAAAACAAACAAACAAACAAACAAAAACAACCCAAAAATGAGAATAGCCTAAGGGAAGTCCATGACATCAGAGCATTATAACATCCATGTTATAGGGACTCTCAAGAAGATAAGAGGGGTGCCTGGGTGGCTCAGTCAGTTAGATGTCTGACTTTTGATTTCAGCTCAGGTTATGATCTCATGGTTTGTGAGTTTGAGCCTTTCATCAAGGCTTGGGACTCTCTCTCTCTGTCTCTCTCTGTCTCTCTCTCTCTGCTCTTCCCCTGCTCACACGTGTGCTCTCTCCCTCTCTAAACAAACAAACAAATAAATAAATAAATAAATTTTTAAAATAAGAAGAGAAAGAAAAGGGGGCAGAAAATGTATTTGAAGTAATAATAGCTGAAAACTTCCTGAATCTGGGGATGGAAACAGAAATCCAGATCCAGGAGACAGAGAGGTCCCCCAACAAAATCAACTCAGAGACCCACACCAAGACATATAACAATTAAAATGGCAAAAGGTAGTGATAAATAGAGAATTTTAAGAGCACTAAGAGAAAAGAATACAGTTACACACCTGGGAACCCCTCCCCTATCTCATAAGGCTATCGGCTGATTTCTCAATAGAAACTTTAGAGGCCAGAAGAGAGTGGCACAATATATTCCAAGTGCTAAAAGGAAAAAAAACAAACAAACATGCAGCCAAGAATGTTCTATCCAGCAAGATTATCCAAAATAGGGAGAGACATAAAGAGTTTTCCCGGTAAATAAAAGTTAAAGGAGTTCATGCCCACTAAGCCAGTCCTATAAGAAATGTTAAAGAAAGATTCTTGGAGTGGAAAGGAAAGGCCATAAGTAAGAGTTAGAAAAGTAAGAAGCACAAAATCAGTAAAAATAAATATATCTGTAAAAATCAGTTAAGGAAGTTATAAAATAAAAAGATGTAAAGTATGACACCATTTACCTAAAAGGCTGGAGGGAGAGGAGTAAAGAATGGGTTCAAACTTATACAACCATCAACTTAATGTATACTGCTATATGAAGAAGATGTTACATACAAACTGAATGGTAACCACAAATCAAAAACCAATAATTGATATGAAAAAAAAGTATGGAAAAGGAATCCAATTTTTACTACTAAAGGAAGTCCACTAATTGTGACAGAAGAGAGCAAGCAAGGAAAGAAACAGAGAAGAACTACAAAAACAACCCTAAACCAAAACACCAAATTGCAATGAGTACATACCTATCAATAATTACTTTGAATGTAAATGGTCTAAATACTCTAATCAAGACATAGGGTGACAGAACAGATTTAAAAAAACAAGACCCATCTTTATGCTGCCTACAAGAGACTCATTTCACACCTAATACACATGCAGGAGAAGCATTTGTCATGTAAATGAATATGAAAAGAATGCTGGGGTAGCAGTATTTATATGAGACAAAATAGACTTTAAAACAAAGACTGTCACGAGAGACAAAGAAGGACACTATATAATCATAAAAGGAATAGTCCAACAAGATGATATAATAATTGTATTTATACACCCAGCATGGGAGCACCCAAATACATTAAGCAGTTAACAACAAACATAAAAGAACTAATCCATAGTAATACAATAGTAGGGAACTTTTAACACCTCACTTACATCAGTGGACAGATCATCCAAACAGAAAATTAGAAAGGAAACCATGGCTTTGAATGACTCATTGAACCAGAAGGATTTAACAGATATATTCAGAACATTCCATCCTAAAACAGCAGAATACACATTCTTTTCAAGTGCACGTGGGACATTATCCAGAATGATCACGTATTAGGCAACAAAACCAGTCTCAACAAATTCAAAAATACCAAACCAGTCCATGCATCTTTTGTGACCACAATGCTATGAAACTAGAAATCAACCACCCCCCCAAAATCTGGAAAGAGTACCAATACATAGAGATTAAATAACATGCTACTAAACAATAAGAGCCCAAACAAGAAATCAAAGAGCAAATAAAAAATATGTGGAGACAAATGAAAGTGGAAACACAATGGTCCAAAATCTTTGGGATGAAACAGAAGTGATTTTAAGAGGGAAGCATATAACAATATAGGCCTACCTCAAGAAGCAAGAAAACCTCAAACAACCTAACTTTACACTTAAAGGAGCTAGAAAAAGAAGAACAAACAAAACCTCAAACCTGTAGAAGGAAGGGAGTAATAAATATTAGGGCAGAAATAAACGAAATAGAAGCCAACACACACACACACACACACACACACACACACACACACGAAACAATAGAACGCATAAATGAAACCAGGAGTTAGTTCTTTAAAAGAAAATCAACAAAATTGATAAATCTTTAGCTCATCAAAAAAAAAAAAGAAAGAAAGAAGAAGGCTCAAATAAACAAAATTGGAAATGAAAGAGAGAAATAACAACTGATAACCACAGAAATACAAAGGATTGTGAGAGAATATTATGAAAATTTATATGCCCAAAAAATTGACAACCTAGAATAAAGGGATAAATTCCTAGAAACACATAACCTCTCAAAACTGAATCAGGAAGAAATAGAAAATTTGAGCAGACCAATTACCAGCAATGAAATTGAATCAGTAATCAAAAAACTACCAACAAACAAAAGTTCTGGACCAGATGCTTCACAGATGAATTCTACCAAACATTTAAAGAAGAATTAATACTTATTCTTCTCAAACTTCCAGAAAATAGAAGAGGAAGGAAAACATCCAAATTCGTATGAGGCCATCATTACCTTGATCTAGAACCAGATAAAGACATACAAAAAAAAAGAGAGAGAGAGAGAGAGAGGACTACAGGCCAGTATCTCTGATGAAAATAAATGCAAAAATCTTCAGTAAAACATTAGCAAACCAAATCCAACTATACATGAAAAAAATCATTCACCACAAACAAGTGGGATGTATTCCAGGACACATTCAATATTCATGAATCA